TGTCGCAGGGCTCGCAGGTCACAGGCCCTGCTACGCAGCGTCACCCAGGCCCTGGCACCGTGCCCTCGGCCAGGCAGGGCTGACCACCGGGGGGAGGCTGGGTCCCCCCCTGGGGAACATGGGGGAGGGACCTGTGTGGAGGCCGACCTCGGGTCTCTCCTGGTGGCTGACATAGGTCTTGTGTCAGGTACCTGGGGGCTGGTGAGGGTCTCATCCCATCGGGGTGCTCAGAGAACCCCAACCCCCCTGGTGGCCACTGGGGACCAGGAACAACTTGCCATTGTCATCCACGGCGTACACGGACGTCTGGCCCACAGACACCTGCTTCAGCCTCTGCTTGGCAGGAGATGGGATGTGGTACCAGCAGTCACCTGCCAAGGGAGGTAGGACTTGGAGGCGCCTGGGAAGCACCGAACCTGTGACCCAGGCGCCTGGGGGCCCGTGGTCTCCTCTGCAGCTCCCAGGGTGGGTGGGTGCCATGCCCTGCTGACCTCCAACACCCTGGTCTCTCTCAAGGCCCAAAAGAGGCCGGGGCAGGTTCCAGATGGTGGGGCTGGAGGGGCCGGTCTCACACAGGGACACATGGTGCCCAGCCCGGCATGTGGGCAAGAGCCAGCCCTGCAGCTGCTATGCAAACCCAAGGCCCTCAGCCCCATGTGGAGGGCACGACGCACCAGCCACCACCTCTTCATCCGTCCATTCCAGTGCCACCCTCCCCCATGCCAGACACTGTCCAGACATCCAGTCAAGAACACGCCGGCTTAGGCTGCCCTCCGGGGAGTGGCCACTGTGGAGTGGGCCGAGCGGGGCCACCCCAGGAGCGTCCCAACAGGCCTGTCCCCTGGTGGGCAGGACCTGCAAGGCACCCAAAAGCGCCCACCACCAGCTGCCCTGGCAGGAGGCCAGGACGGTGCAGAGCAGCTGCAGGGAAGGGGCGTGGCCTCGGGATCCTGGCTGTGCCCAGCAGCTGGTCCGCAGGCTGCTTTCACCACGGGCTTGCTGAGTTAAGGGGCAGCCAGGGGCCGTCGGCCTGCAGCCTCGCTGACAGCCCCATCCCCTCCAGGACAGGCGGCACTCACCAGCCGGCTTGGAGGGGGACACGGAGCCCCTGTAGAAGGCAGAGCCGTCCCTCGCCACGGCCCACACCTGGCAGCAGCCCCCGATGGAGACTGAGGCGAAGGGCTGGTCGGTGCCCACGTGCAGCCAGGAGGCGCCCTGGAGACCGAGTGAGGAGACACTGAGGGCTGCCTGGCCCAGCCTCTGCCACCCCAGCCCCGGGTCCAGGAGCTGGGGGCTCCTCACGCCAACCTCATCCTCGGTTCCAACTGCCCACAGAGCCTGGCGACCCCTGGGCGGGCCACACCTAGCCCGACTCCTCAGCAAGAGTCCTATTTCTGGAACAATCTGTCAGAACCCCACGAGTGACCACAGGTGGGCAGGCTGGTGCTCCCCAGAGGCAAGGACTGGGGTGCTCACCGCAGGGTTGAGCTCGGACACACCCAGGCGGCACAGCACGTCCCCCTTGTCACTGACGGCCCAGAGTGCGATGCTGTGTCCACTCTCGTCGGCGCCCGGGCTCTCGGGGATGATGGACACATCCCTGAGGGCGATGGGGGGCACTTCCAGCCAGGGCCCGCTGGTCACCAGCTTGCACTTTCTGTAAGTGGAGAGGGCACAACCCTGGGCACCTGGGCACCCAGATGCTGCTGCCAGCCCCAGGCCGCCTGCCCTGGGCACCCGGAGGCTCAGGAGGAAGCCTCCGTGGGAGCCTGGGGAGGGCAGGACACCCCACCCACCCCTGCACCTGGGTGGGCACCCCTTCCTGGATGGGTGGCCCCACACTCCTGCCCCAGCCGCTCCCTCCCCCAGCCAGGCCTCCTGTCCTGCCTACAAGCAGAGGCTGCCAATGACATTTCTCTTATTTGTTCTTGAAAGCAAACTCTCCAGAAATAAGAGCGTTGGGAGCCGCGGGCACTTCCTGGGCTGACATTTACTTTGATTCTGTTTCCCCTCCCCGTGGCCTCCCTGTTCCTTCCAGGGTACTGAGGTTGGAGGAGGGGGGGGGGGTCTGGCCTGGAAGGGACCAGGACGAGGGGCCAGGCCACACCCCCAGCTACCTTGTGCTCAGTCTTTACCTGGCCCAGCACCTCCTCCTGACAAAATCCCTCATGGTTTTGTACCCGTGATATGAGCTGCAAGAGGAAGAAGAAGCTGAAATCGAGACCACTTCGGGGAAAGTGACGCTGCGCACACACGCACACACACACTCTCTCCATCGGTACAGGGCTCGGAGCCTGTGAGCTGTGGAGTGGGCTCAGAGGGAGCAGGTATCACAGGACACGATGCTCCTCCTTCAGACACCTCCTGCCTGGCTGGGGTCTCCCAGGGCCAGGACATGGTAGCTGCCTGACCAGGGGGTTCTAGCTAAGGGAGCTCTGCCCCTCGCCACCCCAGGCCCAACCAGAGCCCTCCTGGGAACAGTCAAGCCAAGGGCCCGAGGCCTCTGACACCTGTCACCTCCTTGGTCGGCTCACATGGCTCGGGCCCTGGCTGGGCTCTCCAGTTCCGTCTTCCACTCGAACCTATGACTTGTGTTCCCTGAAGGCCTGGGACCCCAGCCCAGCGGGCTTGTCAGCCGCTTCTCCTTGTCCTGCCCGCCTCTGACACTTGGCCTCTTGCCTGGCCCAAAGCTCCCTAGACCCCTCAGCTGGTGAACCAGGCCCCCAGCTGGCCCTCCCACACCCTGCTGGGCAGAGACACAACCAGGTGTCGAAGGAGCCAAGGCATCTCCCTGGGCCCATCTGGGCCCCTCCACATCTCTCCAAACCCTGCTGGCAGCTGAGGCAGGCACACAGGGTCTGCTCCTCAGCGATGCCCAGGTGCTTGGGGGGTGGGGGGCAGAGGGTAGGGCTCTGCCTGGCAGGGTGGTGGGGCCGCTGCTAGGGAGGAGGTCCGGCTGGGCCACACCCCCAGTCCTGCTGCTCAGGGCAGCCCCTGAGGCCTCCCCATGCAGAGAGAGAGAGAGAGAGAGAGAGAGAGAGAGAGAGAGAGAGATATGCTTACGAAGGGAAGTCACTGGCAT